CCATCCATTCCTCCATCCATCCATCACCTCTCCATCCATCCATCCCCATACACGCCTCTCCCTCCATCCATTCCTCCATCCATCCATCCATCCATCTATCCCCATACACACCTCTCCCTCCCTCCCTCCATCCCCAAACACAGCTATCCATCCATCAACCCCTCTCTCCATCCATTCATCCCCATACACACCTCTCCCTCCCTCCATCCATCCAGCCAGTCATCCCCGACCACCCCATCTATCTCTCTATCTCTCTATCTATCTCTCTCGCTATCCCGAGAGGTGGTAGCTGCCTACACGGGGGCTCAGGTCAGCTGAACTACGTCACTCAAAGGTGTGGATTGTTCACGCCCCCATGGGACCTAGCTGGGCCACTCTCCTTTTCTAGTGTCGACCAGCCCTACAAGATCTGCTTGAGGAATCATTGGGGGGAACTTCTCTAGGAGGTCAGACTAGATTGGTGGTTTCCACCCTGTGCTCCGCAGGCCCCTGGGGGGTCCGCAGACTATGTCTGAGATTTCCAAAGGTGGCTGCACCACCATAGGAAATTTTTTAGGGGTCTGCAAATGAAGAAAGGTTGAAACCCCCTGGCCTAGATGATCTCAGTGCTTCTGTCGACCTTTGAGTCTCTGACTGCTGAAGGAGACGTTTATTGCCTTCTGGCATGTTTACACAGTCTGCAATGCAGCTTTACAACTTCTAGTTCACAGTAACGTTCTGTTCTGTTTTCCGTCACGCGGGGCTCTGAAAACTGTCTGGATGGGTCAAATTATTGGGATAATCTACCGCTGATGCTTATCTGTCTCCTCCTGCACCCTTGGGCTGGTCTCTTCAGGCTCTTCAGTGTCATGTTAATGGATTTGGCTTGTTTATCGTTTGTGTTTTCCTTTTCCCAAGTGGTCTCCACATTATCACATTATCTGCACATGATGGAGAAGTCGTTTTGGTGGCGTCCTTAACACACGTCCATCGTCTTTTGACCAGGCTTCAGGTTGGCTTGTTGTACTTAGACTTTTGGATGTTGCAAGAAACTCTTTCCCCTGGACTCTGAAGGTCTCCCACAGACCTTTACTTTGGAATGAGTTGATCTTCTTATTCATTTGTTGTAGATTTCCATGACTCTGCGTGGAAAGGAGGACAGACGTGATGCTGGTGTTAAAGAAATCATATTGCATTGCCAGGGCCCATCATGCTACTTTTCCCGATCTTTTCAAGTGAATGAAAGTTCCTTGCCACTTTAGATCTTCGTTTTTCAACGTCTAGCACGGTTTCACCATCATTAAAAGGACTTTCTTCTGTGCGTGTGTCTCTGTCTACTCCGCTGGTTGTTTGCGGGAGATTGAGGGCCATATATTTTGTCTTCCACTTCTTGATAAACAAGCCAACGTGTTTTGCTGGGTCTGCCAAGAGTTGGCTCTTTCCTTCCTTTAAGCGGTCGGTGTGTTGAACTAAGCAGCACGATGACATCCGCAAAAATGAGGTCGGCCAACTGTGCTTTCTCATTTGTCCATAAAATTCCTCCGTTGTGTCCTGCGGGTCCTTCATTTACGATGGAGTCAGTGACCAATGTGAACAACGCACACTCGTCTGGCGCCTGTTGTCAAGGCAAACCATTGCCTGACGTCGCCACCATCTCTGGCTGCACGTTCAGCATAGTCATACAGATCCCTGACGAGTCCAATTCTCTTTTCTGGTATTCCAGGGAATGCCATAATTTTCCAAATGCACCACAAACCCAATGATATACCTGAGCTACCTCAGTGGTATTTTCATCCTCCAGACAGACGACCTAAACTGCCTCAGTGATTTCCACCACAACTTCAACAACCCCCACCCCTGCAGTAAACTCTCTCTAAAACACTCCTGCACCGGCATCCACTTCATGGACACCACAATTAGCTTCAACAATGGGACCCTACAGACAACAATACACAAGAGACCCACAGATCACCACACCTACCTTCATAGATCCTGTAACCAGACCAAACACACCAAGAAATCGGTCATCTACAGGCAGGCACTCAGATACCACAGAATGCGCTCCGAGGAGAACTGGATGCACACTCTAACAGATTCAATTCAAAACCACCTTCACCAAACCAAAGGACACTCTACCAGAGAAGTAGATCACATCATGGGACAGGTCACCCAAATGTCCCAAGAGAATCTGCTTTAATACAGAAATAAAACCTCCCCCCTCCCTGGAACCCATCCACGGTATCATCAACCAATTACAATCCATATTCAGTGGGAACCCCAATCTGAAAGAAATCTTTCCCAGACCCCATCTTCTGGCCTTCAAACAACCCCCAACTGCTCCAAGCCCATCATCAGAAGCTCCCCACAGACCAGGACCCACCAACTCAAAGTGGCACCAGACCCTGCCAGAACAACAGATGCAAAACCTGCAGACACATCTCCACTGCTACAATGATCAACCCTTTCAAGATCCATGGGTCCTACACCTGCGTATCACAACATGTGGTGTACCTCCGCCAGTGCACTAAATGCCCCAATGTGATGAAGTTGGGGATTATTGTAGTGTTTTACATGAATAGCATGTGCGTGCCTCAGTTTCCCTGTGTGCTGCACATTTAACAAGGTGGTGGGAGAGGGTTTGTTGTTGCAGAGGACCAGGTGTGACCTCGCCTGGCAGCCGGGACCCCCAGACAACGGCCTGGAGAGGGGGATCCCTAACAACTGGTGACCTGATGACTGGGAGGCCCATCTTGGAAATCACAGCTGGTTCTGGCCAGTGGGAGGACAAAGGGCTGAGGAGAGAGGACCCCGGTGACCTGACCAACCAGTTCCAGCCAGAGGGGAACAAAGGATGGAAGAGAGAGGGCCCCAGCGACCTGTTTACCTGGGATGGAAGACAAAGGACAGGGGAGGAGCTGTTGGGGACGATGATATATGATGCCTCGGCTGGAAGGAGGGGGTCTCTGGGCTGGGGAGAGCCCCCCTGGATGCAGGGGAGAACTAGATGTGCTGAGGGTTGCTAGGCCCGAGGGCCCAGAGAGTTTCCTGTGCTGGGTTCAAATGTTCGCTAAACCTCCTGTTTTACTCCGGCTGAGAGTCGCTCCGGTCTAGAGAACAGGGATGCATTATTCCCTCTGGGAGTGGAGGCCCTGGGGTCCAGAGTGAGTGGACTCCCTGAGGGGGCCCAGGTGAGCGACAGGCGTGCTGAAAGCTCGGAGGGGTGCGGTTCCAGGAGGCGGAGGGGCAGACGGCTTAACCCCCAAGAGAGTGGGCCCCCGAGAAGGGCTGTGGCTCTGAAGGGGGTTCCCCCCAGGGACCCTACGGAGCCGAGAGAGCACAAGTCCTGTGAGTCCGTCACACCCGACAACAACTATGTGGGTGAAACCTGACAATCACTCCACTCTCGAATGAACTCGCACAGGAAAATGATCAAAGACAAAAACCCGCCATTACCTGTGGGTGAACGTTTCACAAAGTGATCACTCCATACCTGACCTCTCAGTCCTCAGCCTCACAGGAAACGTGCCGAAAACTTTTAAAAGATGAGCCTGGGAGCTTAAATGCATTACTCTGCTGGACACCGAAGCCAGGGACTGACCAGAGACACTGGATTTATGGCTTATTACAATGAGCTGTAAGCCTCTTCTTTCACCCCTCCGCCCTACAACTGGAGGGGTGTTAACTGGCCACTTCCCTTGAACGGTCCCTTGAGATATGTGTTAACGACTTACCCTAAGTAGTCTGTTCTACCTTGTATTTAGCTGACCCAAAGAGCTCTGTGGAAGTTCAAAAGCTTGTCTCTCATACCAACAGAAGTTGGCCCACTAAAAGATCTCATCTCCCCCAGCTTGTCTCTATACGTTTCCAGACACTGTCTCTGTGTACGCTGTCAAAAGTCTTCTGGAAAGCTATAAAATGTATCAGGAGGGGTGGGCTTCCCTCTCCCACTTTGTTCTACAGCATCCCTGAGAACAACAATACAGCAATACAGCCTGAATAGGATCTCAGAGGTCTGAAACCTGCGTGGTCCTCTCTACGTTGCAGGTCTGTCTGTTTGTTGACATGGCCCAGGACGCGGTTGTACGCAATTTCCCCAGGCTCTGATCATAATGTCGTCCCTCTCCAGCCACGGCAGCGGGTAAGGTTCTTTGACAATTTTACGAGAAGGCCTCTCTTCTGCTGGGTTGGGTTCTTCGTTCTGGGGTGGGGAAGCCGCCTCTCACAATGGCACATTCTGGCCCGAGAATCTAGGAACCTTCTACCCAAAACCACAAGGAAAATCTGGAGGGCTGTTTCGTTCCAGAGACGTTACCCTTTCCCGCTGCTCTCCCATTTCCAAGTGTACGGATTGCTTTTCTAATTTCTTCCATTGTAATAACTCCTAAATCAGTATCAACCTCTCACAGTAGGTCTTCCTTGTGTGTTTCTGGTGGTTTGCTTGGTCTTGGTCTATTTCAAACAGCCAAAAAATGTTCCGCCTATCTTCTCCTTTGTTCTTCTTTCCTGCAAAGGGTCAGTTGCAAATCTAAACCACACTGGGTCAAAGACCAAGCCAATCAATCGCTGGATCTTATCAAAGAATAGGACACATTCCGCACATATAAGATGGTAAAGATATTCTCTTTATCTCAAGAAGACAGATTTTGCTAGAAGCTGGGAATTGATGACAGGGGATGGATCACTGGATGATTCCCTGTTCTGTTCATTCCCTCTGGGGCACCTGGCATTGACCACTGTCCGAAGACAGGACACTGGGCTACATGGACCTTTGCTCTGACCCAGTGTGGCCGTTCTTATGTTCTAAGACACTGATGTTTGCCAAAGAGTCCTAGTTTTGTAAAAGAATGCAAGGATGTTTGAGTCAGAACATTTCAAAAACTAATAATACTCCGTGTGAGTTCTCAGAGCTATAAACCAAGTAATAAAAGTGGGCATCTTACCCCCACCTCTTTGCCAAGAAAAATCTTCATTCAAACCCATTTCAATTCTAGAAATCTCCCGATTGAAACTGATTTCCTCTGCAACCGCGCTCAAGTCTTCATTCTTTAAACGCAGCGAACGTTTATGGTGAGAAAAGCCTCGCAGAACACATTGGTTACTTTCAGCTCACGTTTCGGTCTTCTTTCTCAAATGCTTTAAGGTGGCACCAAATGCCTTTTAAAATGTAGATTTGTTTATATTGTATAGTTGTGTATGTTGTATCCAAACGCAAGCTTTTGTATCATAACTGCCCCTTATTGTTGTTATATGAAAAGGAAAATGTTTTGTATACAAATATAGGAAGTTTTTTTTCAATACTGTCAACAAATTACTAACCACAGAATCATAGAAAATGTGGGGCTAGAAGGAACCCTCAAGAGGTCACCTAGTCAAGCCAAGTAAACTGAGACCATCCCAGATGGGTGTTTGTCCGACCTGTTCTTAAAAACCTCCCTCGGGAGCTGATTCTGATAGTCAGAAAGTTGTTGCTATTATGTAACCCAAATCTCCCTCGTAAGAAGCCATTTAAGTACAGAATATTTATATTAACAGGGAGTGAACTAACTACTGGCAGTGCGCAAGCAAACCCTCAGCCAACCCCAGAAGACGAGCTTGTCTCCAAAACCTGGTACAAGAATCAAGAACTTTTTAGTTGTTGAAGCTCATGGCTTCAGGAGAGGGAGTGAATGTGAAAAGACTGTTTTGAGAACTGAAAAGGACAGAGGCACTTGGGCTCTCTGAGAGCAGGATTGCATTTCCCGTTGAGATGGAAGGAACCGCTCAGGCAAGGAACCAAACAAAAAGAAGAAGGTGAACTCCAACTTGAAAAGGTTATCTGGGATCTTCCCGCTGCACAAAGAGCGACGAATGTCTGTTGTGCACTCAGTGAACAAACTGCATTATTCAGGAGCTGAAGGTGTCAACCTCGCTGGCATGGAGCCTAGGGAAGAGCGACAACTGACAACTTTGAATCTCCACAAGCCTGAAATTCCCATCTCCCTAGACTCCAAGGCCAGAAGAAAACCCTGCGATTACATAGTCTGACCTCCTGCAGAGGTCAGGCCAGAGACCTGCCCTGCAATAATTCCTACAGCAGATCTCTGAGAAAAACATCCAATTTTGAGTTAAACATTATCAATGTTGGAGAATCCACCGTGACCCTTGGTTGGTGGTTAGTTACCCTCGCCGTTAAAAATTTACACCATATTTCCAATGTGACTTTGTCCAGCCATTGGATGGGGTTACACCTTCCTCTGCTAGACTGAAGAGCCCATTATTAAATCTTTGTTCCCCATGTAGGTAGTGACGGACTGGGATCAGGTCACCCCGAACCTTCTCTTGGTTAAGCTGAATAGATCGAGCTCCTGGAGTATCACACGACAAGGCAGGTTTTCTAATCCTTGAATCGTTCTCGTAGCTCTTCTCTGACCCCTCTCCAATTTATCACCATCCGTCCTGCAGTGTGGGCATCAGAACTGGACCCAGGATTCCCGCAGTGCCCAATATAGAGGTAAAATCACCTCTCTGCCCCTGCTCCACATTCCCCTGTTTATACAGCCCAGGAGCGCATTAGGCCTGTTGGCCACAGCGTCCCACTGGGAGCTCAGGTTCAGCTGATTTTCCACCGTGACCCCCAAATCTCTTTCAGAGTCACTGCCCCCCAGGAGAGAGTAAGTGCGGCCGACACGCTTTGTCCCGAGATGGGAACGTACATTTACACGTTTGTGCTCCTAA